AGAGTCACATCTAGTGTATCTAAGTCTGTCTTTATCATTGTCCACCTTTGTCCCTCAGTATATGTCCATGTGTGTATAACCACATCCTGTCTGTTTGCTTCAGGTTCCTGGATTCACATCACACGTTGATTTAGTTGGACACAAAGTGAAACCCATTTAAATCACTTTGAGTCAGACACATGAATTTCATCGTATGAATTCAGTTTGCTGTAGTTTGAGTTTGGAAAATGCTTCAGGTGCAAAYCTCCTTTTTTCTTCAATGTCTGTTTGTGGCTCTGCGTGTTTGTTTGATTTACAAATGACATGAATCAGTGTTACATGAAAGGGTTTTACAACGAGGACCAAACAGGTTCTGATAAAGATCAGAGGAGAACCAACATGATCCAGAATCAAAGACACTCAGTTCCAGCTGCTAAATGCAGAAGAACAGCTGGGACAACATCTGGGGTTGTGTCTCTGTGAAAGTTACAGCGCCCCCTGTTGGCATCTGGTAAAATATATATTACGTGACCGCGATAAAATATCGTGTGAATGAAAAAAATAATTCAGAGCCACGAGATCTGAATCTGTTGTTTACTAAAGACGAGGGGACGTGAAGTGAAGATGCCTCTTGATGAGAAACCTTTGAATCCCAGGATGTGGTGTCTGTCTGCACTGTCTCTGAGGACACACACTGAGGACACACTGTCTCTGAGGACACACACTGAGGACACACACTGTCTCTGAGGACACACACTAACTCTGAGGACACACACTGAGGACACACACTGTCTCTGAGGACACACACTGTCTGCACGGACTCTGAGGACATGTAGTATAATTTTTGGCCATTAAACCATGTCACTTATGAATGTCACTGTATACCTTTAAGAATCTGCACTACAAACTAAGGTGTGATTGAAACATGATTTACTACTGATTACAATAAGTTTGTGAATGTAATTACGAATCAAACCATATATTCTGTGTGTAACAAGCAGTATGAGGTGATTGTATAACTTGTGTGAAGAAATATTAATCTTTTWAAAAAGACAAACTGACCGAATTGTAACATAATGGTGTCAAATGTAAGCACAATATCTTTTAAAAAATACTAAGCTGATTAAGCAAAAGATAATGGTGTCAAGAATAAGCAAAGTTAGTGTAAGATCCCAACATGCCCAGTGGAAATTTCCAGAGCTAGAAAATTGACCAATGACCTACTGACACGTGTGGCCCCGAAATGATGATAACCAATGAAAAGCTGACAGGTTTGGTCTCTAAAGGGTTTATAAGACAACACCACACTACTGTTAGGCAGAGTTCTTCTCTGSTGAAGCTCCGGCTCGCTACTGAATGCTCTCTGGTTTTTTGTCGACAATAAACTCTGCTGCTTTTTATTCGACTGAAATTTTGGACTTTTGGACCACGAGTGAAACTTAGTTTTCATCACAACAGACACACTAACTCTGAGGACACACTGTCTCTGAGGACACACTGTGGTGGAAACCTCTGACACCTCAATAAAAACACATGGACCTATTTTCAGGACCTGACTGAGTGTATTTGTTGTTTTGGGGACAGGACGAGTCGGAGCATCTGGAAACTGAGATTGAGACGTACTGGCTGAGTTAGAGATTTTAACCAACCACACGTTGGTGAGTGTTCGAGTCCCAGAGGGGGGGGGGGGCTGTCACAAGATAAATCTGTAAACTATCCCCCTAAATATTGAATTACATAGGATGAAGCTACTTAAAGGAAGTATTAAAGTATTTGTGGTTCTCCTCCGCCATCACTCCCAGTACATCAGTATCAGTAAGTGAAGTACATGCAGACAGTCTGTGGTACTGTGAGTTCTTTGCTCCTACGGGTCAGGTTGGTTCTGAAAAAGGTTCATCCTCTGAGGAGAATCTAGATCTTTCAGAAACTCCTCACAGGAGCTCAAAGGCTCTCTCGTGGGTCCACACCATAGACTGTATATAAAGATAAAGAAATAAAGAAATCCACGATCCTGTAAGAACATGAATGATGTCATGGTTCGAAGGAAGGGCTGTGACAGAGGGAAGCGTCCATCTCAACAACCATCACAACAACAGAAACCTGATAAGTCTTTGAAAATCTACCAAACTAAAGATCCTACACGCTGTCCGAGGTCCCCAGCCTCCTGACTCACGATTACGTGGAATACATCCGAACTCCAGTGCTTTTCTTTTCGTAGCATGTCCCAAGAAACCTGGATGAGAATGTTTATATTTACATGCATCCCATTAATATAAATATCCATCTATTACTTCTTTTCTATTTCCGGTCTATGATGAGAACGGCCTGCAGGTCAGTGCGTGGTGAGTGACTCCGGGCTCCGCTAGGTGGCGGTGACGCGCTGCAACGTGAAGTGTCGCACACAGAAGAAGAAGCGCTGCCGCCTGCGTCAGGTTTGAACGGATGGACGGAAACGCGGTTCGTCGGTAAACTGGAGGATCACTTGAGCTTTTGTCAGCGGCGGAGGTAACGGAGCTTTCCGCCGGGGAACCGGGATGATTCCTCGCCGCTGCTGCTTCTTGTTTATTCGGGATTCGGGCTCAAGTGTCCCGGTTGTTTGTTTCTGTCTGTCTGTCTGTGTGTGTGTGTGTGTGGGGGGGCTAAGTCCGTTAGCTCTCCGCTAGCTAGCCTGCTCATGCTAACTGTCATGGCTGATTGCCTGTGTCTGTGGAGCAGCTTCACAAAGTTCTCGAGGACACAAAGGGAAAGTTATACTTGTGTTTCCCGCCTGCAGGTCGGAGGTACAGAGGACTGAACATAGAAGAGAGGAACCGTGAGGCTCCTCCATGGCTGCTCCAACCCTGCTACAGCCCAGTTTCCTGCTGGTGAGTCACACGAGCTTCACGTTAGAGCAGGACGCCATCACTAATCATCTCAGTGTCATTGTCATCAGCAGCAATAGGTTCAATGTACATCGATATATTCTCATGTGCTGTTCACACACAGTGAGGAGGTGTCTCGCTCTCACTCCTTTATCATGTGCTTGTCCTTCTCTGCTTATGAAAACCACAACCAACAATAATCAAACTTAGAATAGAAACAGAATCTAGAATAAATAAGATTTAAAAAAAAAATAGAAACACCATATTCATATTAGGCTGTTTTATAAATGTGCAATATAAATATTGTTTGTGATTATTCAGTATTTGCTGCAGTCTGTCGTGGAGGTAGGACTTGAATCTTACACCGGGCGCTTTGACGCTGTGCAGTCTGATGACACAAAGGAGCTCTTAGAGCCACGTGACTGAATGAATCTGTGGCTGAACGAACTGAGTGTCTCACTGTTGTTTTCTGTGTTGTTGCTCCAGGCAAACCTCAAAGCTGATGCCACCACCAAACCTCTCCTCCAGCGATGCCAAGACCTGGTGAAGATCATTGATGAATATCCTGCCAAGGTGAGATGTCTACTCGTCCGCACTCTCGTGTTTGAACAAAAATACACAACAAAAGCATGAGGGTGCACTGATATGAGGTTTGTAAACAAATCAACACGTGGCTCAAAACTAGAAGGTATGAACCCAAGTGTGGACGATGGTGGGCCACTGTTGTAGCTTATTGGCCAAAGTATTTGTAAACAGGATTTGTTTTTTGCGGACACTCAGCGGTTTAGTCTCTTAGTGGAGGGAGAAGAGCAGAGCTGACCTTTTAACATTTAAATGAGACGGCTGCTGACACTGTGACCTCTGACTTTCACTCTGAGTTCCTCCGTTCTCTCTTCTTTACTTTGTGTTGTAATTTGAAAGAGATTCACAGAAGATAAACTGTGCAGGTAACTGAGCTGTTTGAACTCAGCACACAATCACTGGTGAATTACTGCTGGTGCATAAACAGAGCACTGACTTGTTCCTCTTGGTAAGTGAGAGTGTTACTGTGGAACACTTGAAGTTGGGACTGAGGGCAGCTGTTGGGGTTTTCAGTGAACCCTGTTTCCTGTTCGCTGTATGGCGAAGACTTTCCTGCGTGTACACAGTTCAATGTTTGTTGTTTTGCTGCTTCATGACACAGAATGTGGCGAAACACTGACAGTAGGTTGGGATGGACCTGCTTTCTCAAGTTATCAAATATATTATCTGGTGTTCTTACTTTCACATGATGGACCGTACAGAAGTAAAGCAATCATTTTATCATTCTGCTTTTACCGTGACTAATATTTAAAATAAATCATTTCTCAGTTGTTGCTTTGTTTGTTTACTTCACCAGTTTTATCTTTCATATCAGAAAGAGATAAACTCGTCCCCAAGTAGATCTGGACAAATATTCATGTCATTCCACTGCAGTTGTGTCACTGCCTGTAATATAACCAGAGCGTTTCCAGATTTGTCAGTTGATTGTTTTAAAATATCTCGTGTCTGATTCCATCGTATCTGCGTTGTTTGTGTGTTTCCTCTCAGGAGCTGCACCTGATTTTCCCCTGGCTGGTGGAGTGTGTGTTTGGGAGTCTGGACGGCATCATCGCCGGCTGGAACCTGCGACTCCTGCACTCGAGAAGCAACGAGTACCACATTGTTATGGATTTTCTAAACCCCAGGTATTTTGTCTGTAAAACCAAGTGGGATGTTACGTATTGTACATTTGAAGAACCAAGTCAAAAACATTGTTCTTTTTTTCATATGTTCTTGTCAGCGGGCCGATGATGAAGCTTGTGTACAAACTTCAAGCAGAAGAGTACAAATATGAAATACCCGTCAATTATCTCCCGGTAAGAACATTTATATCCTTTTTATTATCTCACCTAAATAAATGGTTTTAAGAGCTTGTATGAAATGATGTGTTTAACAGTCTAATGAATTGTAACTGACATTTGTGTGGAATATTGTCATATTTACTTCATGGACCTGATCATGAAGGGTCCTGTGAAGGCCTGTATCCAGGAAGGAGTCCTCCCCGACTGTCCGCTGTTTCACAACAAGCTGCAGTTCCCCCTGTCCGGTCTGCTGACCCTGAACCTCGCTCTCAGTATCCTTAACAACACACACAAGATTAATCCGCCTGAGTTTTCTCTGTGGAATTAGTGAAGGAAAGACCATGATAAGTCAAGCCTTCATTACTTTTTAATTAGTAAAATGTTTAAAAATGCCAATCACAACTTCTGAGCTTGTCTTAAAATGTCTTGAATCCTCCAGTTGTTCACTTTAAGAACATATGTGACAAAGAGAAGCAGCAAATCCTTCAGTGGGAGAAGCTGCAAGAGAATGTGAAACTTCTTTTTGTGCACAACTTTTGCTTGAAATTGTTAATCAATAAACTAATTGATGCCTCAGACGATTGCTTCAACTCTAATCAAGTTGTGGCGGCGGGTGTGTATTGTAACTGTGAGATATTACGACAACTAGAGCTTTGTTTATCCTCAACTGTCTGCAGATCCCTTTGAATTTTTCATGTTTAACTTTGCCTACTGTCTCATCGTGCCAAAGGTGAGTCCGCCAGAGTAAATGAACAATAAACAGTGGAACACAGGATTAAAGTCCTTGAATGAACATGATCATGTTGATCCTCACAAGGAAAAACTAAACTGTTCTTTGTTTTCAGAGCTACCCTCAAGGCCAACATGGAAGCTCCACAGACAGTGCCTACTTTGTGCTGGTGGACACCTACCTGAAATATTTCCTCCCCAGTGAAGGAACGGTGCCTCCGTCTCCTTTCTCTGACTCCAGAGGTTCTGTCACTGCACCCTCACCAAGGTATTTACACCAAGAACAGACCATTCTTACTTGTGTTCACATGTTTTATTGTTTTAGTTGACAACATCTTAATGTAGAATAAATCCATTTTGATGAAATATTAGAATGTCGAGCTGAGATTTCTTCCAGTGATGGGACTGTGTATCACACACGATAAGTTCAAGTTGAAATTCTGTTAATAATAATAATAACAACAACTTGGGTTTGTATAGTGCCTTTCAGGGTACCCAAGGTGCTATACAGAGAGAAAATACAACAATAAAAAAGAAACAAACACAAGATAATAATAGTGATGATTGGCTGAGGCTTGAGTCCATAATCTGTGGTGAACAGGTTAGTTTTCATGAGTTTTCTGTAGGTGTCCAGAGATCGACGAATTGCAGATGTGTGATTGGAGAGAGTTCCAGACGGTGGGGGCCGCCACGCTGAATGCTCTGTTGCCAAAGGTTCGCAGGATGGTGCGTGGGGCGAAGAGCAGACCTGACACCACGGGAGATATTTTTTGTTTGTTGAGATATGTTGTTTTTTCTTTTTTTTGCATCTGTTGCGTTCTCACATCGACTTCTCCTGGATTTCTACGGACATTGTGAGGCCAGGGGGAGAAAGTCTGCGGAGCGTCTCACTTGGATATTTGTGGAAAATAGGAAGTGCGGAGTTCATTGCATGTCTGAAAGCAGCTTGAGTCACATCTACCTGAAGATTTCAGCGAGATCACCTGAACTTTAGGAGGCTTTTGATCGACAAATTCAGTTTTTTAAAATTTCCTCCGCCTTCAATTCTGCAGATCTTCCAGCATTTCTTTCGCTGGTTATGGCGTCCACAGCCCCAGTCTCCTGAAGCATCACATATTCCATCAGCCCTCAGTGAACGCAGAGCCCTCAGCTCAGGAAATCTGGAGGTCAGAGACACTGTTACAGGTACGGCACAGAATCGAGCCGCTGGTCAGTGTTTCACGTGTACAGCTACTGACTGCTTTGATTATTAATTGATCTGCTGATTAATTGCAAAAGGGCACTGGACGTCGTTTTATTGAGGCTTTATCAAAGTTTCTGCTCTAATATCAGTAGTGTGTTTAATGCTCTTTGTTGTGTTTAAGTTGCTTTAGTTTAAAAATGTCTTATCTCTTTTCTCAGATGTTTGTAGAGGTCTGGCTCCATCACTACTCGTTGGAGATGTACCAGAAGCTTCAGTCTCCTCAGGTTAAGGTAAGAGAACAGAAATGTGTCCCCCGATACCTCCCTGCCCTCCTCCCTCCCTCCCTCCTTCCCTCCCCTGCACTGCAGCATGGCACGGCTGGCTGTTGACTGGCTATCCACAACCCTACCACCCTTCCTCCAATCTCCACCATCTCTGTCTCGGAACAAGCCCAGGGTGGTGCGGCGGCTCTGGCCTGCAGCTCTGTGGTTGGACGGCCTCCAGGTTACCTGACGTCAAATTGTGTGACTGTGTTTGAACTGAGTTTGACAATAAAGTTGTCTGTTAGTTATAGAGGAAAATTACAGAGTTTTAATGTTTTAGATAAACTCCTTAGCATTGTGCAAATATATCTTTTATTATTACTGAAGGACAATTTCACCCACAACACTGTGTTCACACTGCAAGAAGGTACACAGCACGTTTTACAGTAGCATGTGGCAAACAAACAGACGTGACTCGTACTGAGCTCCTTGAAGTGTGAACACATTCAAACTAAGCATCTGATTGTCTGGTTTTATATTTCAAATGTCTTTTATTTTATTTGATAGATATTTTAGTACTTAAGTAGTCGCACAAGAGTTAAACCACTGACTTTGCGATTTGGCATGTGTTCCCAGTATTAGTGCTTTTGCTTTCTTTCACGTCCTTTACACGCTGCATGTCCATGTCACGACTCACAAGTGCTGGTTTTGTTCTGTGTGTGAACGCATGTGAAACGCCAACATAAAGTCACAACAGGGTGAGACTTAGTAGAGGGCTCACAGTCAGGAGTTATGTTACCGCTGTCTGTCGCGGTACTTTTTAATCTCAAGGTACAGAATTCAGTTTGTCCTTCCAGCTCTGAGACTGGTCTCACCAACTGGTCTTATGTTAAGTGACAAAAGAGAGTTTTATTATTCAAATTATGACTAAAAATATATTTAAGTTAGCAAGCTGAGAAACCCACATGTTCTAACTGTTATTCTATGTTCTCTTCTGTCCATTTCTAAAGAATGATCCTAACAAACACTGATAAAGCAGTTGAGACCAGTCTTAGTAAAAACCAGTCGGTCCAACCGGCAACAAAGAAAAGGTTCCTTAGGGTAGGAGTTGACCAAAGCCAAGTCCAAGCAGCACAACAGGGGTTGACTGTTTCCCATAGAGGGCGCTCCTGCTCCTTACTGAAAAGAACATTGTATTACATAGAAAACTGAAATGAGATGGTTTGTGGAGGAGCATTAAAGCTTCCACAGTTTGAAACATCCTCAGAAATCACCTCCTTGTTTAAAGGTTCAGTGTGTAGAATTTAGTGACATCTAGTGGTGAAGTGTCATGTTGCAGCTGAACACCCCTCAACCCCCCCTCTCCTTCCAAACATGAAAAAGAACCTTTGGCAGCTTCAGTTTTCATAAAAACTCAAAAGGTTTTAGTTTGTCCAGTCTGGACTAATGTAAAAAACATGGTGGCCTCCGTAGAGAGGGTCCCCTCCATGTAAATATAAAGTATTTAAATATAAAGGACCTTTTCTGGGGTAAAGAAAACTACAATAAATATAATTTAGATGAAACACACTAATCCACATCATGAGGATTATTCTACATTAAATTTCTGCCAATAGATCCTTTCACCTGAATCTTACACATCATATAAAGTTTAATACACAGGTTGTCAACTCATCAAACCCACTCACAGTGAGACTTAATGCTGGTGTTGTTTGGTCCTTTTACATGCATGACTTGTCCTGTAATTGTACACTATTACATACTTTTACACTCAGCTGTGTAGATCACATAGTTACTGCTCAAAAACACTGTTTCTTCAGTATTCATGCTGCAGTATTGTGTCATCGTCATCTCACATCATGGAGAACGTAGAGAGCTGACATTTTATCATATAAAATATGAAAACACTGTGAAAACTGCAGATTTCTCGAGATTTTATTTGGAAAAACAATTAAAATCCTTCATTGCTGCTTCATGAGACTGGACAGGAAACAGTGAACACACCGACCAATGAGCTGCATCACAAACAGATGTTTTTGTCCAATGCTCCCCTGTTAAAAACGTATTAACCACTGTGTTGAGTTGTGTTGTGTCCATCCTGTTTCAAGTGGACTGGAACTGCAAGATTTTGGCCAAATAATTTTGGGTTTAATGTGTCCGATCCGCTCACTGTTGGATGCAATGAAATCTTAATTTAAATTTCAAATTTAAATTTGATATGTTCTGTATATTTTATATGAACCTGAATCATTTTTGTAGATGTGATGATGAAAACCCAAATCTTCCAGTTCTGGGTTCACTTTGTTTATGATGTTAAACATTAGGGATGGGAATTATAAAAGCTGGAATATGAAACGTTGACATGTTTACATGGACACATGATGGTTTGTTCTAAAACATCTGCATGATTTGTGGTCACGCTTTTTATTTTGAAACCCAGATGTGCTCGTCCAGCCCATAGACTGTAAATAAAGATCAACACTGCGTCCCCACTTCCTCCCGCGGCACAAGACGCTGCCATCTTAGGATCTTTGAGGCCTAACCCATTGATTATTTGGAGTCTGTGCAGCGAGGTCATGGAGTGGAGCTGTGTCGACGTCCCGTTGATTCACTCACTCGACCAATCGTCCATATTTATTCACAGTCTGTGGTTCAGTCTCTCTTTACTTATCTGGTGTCAACAGCAGCACATTTGATGGAATACGTTTCCACACAAGCCTCCTCGATATATTTAGATTCATTAGGTTTTACAGTTTCCCTTTTTTTTATCCAAACACATCAGTTAAATCATTTGCTGAATAATTCCCATCCCTGCGACCATGTGACTGTTTGTTTGGAGAGTCAGAGAAGCGTCTGCATCGTCCCCCAGCATTTGCAGCATTTTGTTTCCACAGTCAATATTTTATTTTTGTTTGTCTCCTCCCCTGTTTCTGCTACTTTCCTCCTGAATGTTTTTGGCCAATTGTTCCTGTCTGGTTGCACTTTCCTTTCTTTTGCTGCCTCCTCTTTCTCCTGTTCTCACATTTAAACCTTCCTCCTGCCAACTCCCTTCTCCTCTTCCTCACCCTCCTTTATTGTCACTTCTCCCCTTCCTCTCTCTCCACTCTTCCTCCTTCTCCACCTTCTGTCCTTGTCTTTCCCTCCTCCTCCTCATCCTCCTCTACCCCCCCCTGGTGGTTACGGGAACAGCTGGCGCTGCTGCAGTACCGCCTCAGTATGTCCAGCATGCCGTGCCAACCCCACGCCCCACCAGGCTCTGGGACCCTCCACACCTACCAAGTACTTTTACCTTTTCATTCATCCCCGCCCCTCTGGGGCCTCCTGGAGGTAAACCTCAGTCAGTTAAAGTCACAGTCGAGGATACTTCTCTTTTACTGACCATCACTGAGAGACACTGTTCCTCCAGGCACCAGCCTGATGCCCCCAGATGTTACAGCTGATTACTTTGAATTATTTATTTCACTTTTGCACAGAATGAAAAAGGAAATGACAAATTCAAAGGTGAAAGTGTTTGGTAAATTGTGACGTTGACTATATTGTCACCAAAAACTCAAATGATAAGACGACTCAGGCTCTCCACCCCTTCAGGTCAGAGATTTGAATGAGCTTGAGAATGTCAACTGTTCCTATAGAAAAACAAATCTCCCCCACACGTTTAGAAACCACTGATTAGCTTCTGAGCTGCTGGGAACACTTAAACAGAACATATTTCAGCAAACTGTGAATTTGGACAGAGAAGTATCCTTGACAGCAAAAGTAAAACCCGGAATGAAGCTTTTGGTTCTTTGAGCAGAATTGTTTTGGCTCTGGTGTGGTTTTCCTTTGCTGCTTGTGTTTTTAAGGCATGCTTTTTACACTGGTGTGCTTCTGTGGCTCTACATGTTTATGCGGTTGATTGTTTCTTTCTGTTGACTCTTTGTAAAGCAAAGGATACTACTACGTTATAGATATCAATCTTTTAGTTTACAGGCCAGTAAGACATCATTTTATCATCAAGTAATTCTTTTTTTTTTTGTTCCTCTAAATTTATGTACAAAGAACTTGACAGAGTTAATGTTTGTGTTTATCCAGGATAAGAAACATTGCAGCAGTTTGACAAAGTAGCTTTGCTATGAGCAGGTTATCGAGCGTTGAGGTCCCACTGTTTATTTTCGAACAAACCCCAATTTCAAAGTTAATAATTAAACAAGCTGTATATTCACATTATTTATCACTATAGTATTAATTTTCAAAGTCTTGTGAACTGAGCAAAACTGTAATTCTTGGGCTTAACTCTGAGGACATATTATGGTCTTTACTTTGCGGAGGCTACATCCACGCTAATTTGTTTTCACATTATCTCCGTCCACTCAAGCCTTTTAGGTGTGTATTACAAATGACCCCTGTCCATTCCATCACATGACCTGTCAAGCACCCTTGTCATGTGATGTAAACAGGAAGTAGATTGTCCGCTCAGAAGTTGGTTGCTTAGTTACAGAAATTCAGCGAACGATGAACAGTGATGGTGAAAAGTCAGAGCAGGGATTTTTATTCATGGAGCGACGACGAGATGAAACTGTTACTGACAGGAAGTGCTGGTGACGCATTGTATTCACTGCTGGTAGTCATGTGACTGATGAGAACATTTCTGTTTCCGTCCAGACTACAACCCCAGATTTTCAAACTTTAAATCTCTGGAGTAGTGTGGGCGGTGCAGTTTAAACAATGATGAGTTTTAAAACTGAAATGTAATAGTGTGGATGTAGCCGGAGACAAGTGTCATGACCAAGTAGTCCTGTGTGCGAAAGGTGAGACTTAAAATGCTGACATGAAACAAACAGATCAGTTAAATATTTGATCTTATCATTGAAGTCCGTCAGTGTGGGACCCCTGCGCTCTGTCACAGAATGAACTTGCTCGAGCCTCTGATGATTGTTTGGCTGCTTCTGGACCGGGACGCGTTATGTCGCTGCTTTTGACTGCGGGAGCTGCAACAATGTGGTGTCGTGTGTGTGAGAGCGGAGCTCTTTGCTGACTGGTTGTCTTTTCAGGAGCCCTTCACCCCGACAGAGGAGCACGTGCTGGTAGTGCGTCTCCTGGTGAAACATCTGCACGCCTTCTCCAACAGCCTGAAGCCCGAGCAGCTGTCGTCTTCGCCCTCGGTCCACTCGCACACTCACACCAGCCCGCTGGAGGAGTTCAAGAGGTCCGCCTCTTCACACGGTCCTCATACATGCTTCTGTTCGCATGTTGAACTACAATGTCACTCACTACAGCTCTTACATCCACCAAGTAAATTCAATCAAACTGCACCACATCACACACACACTCGTTAATAACATTACTCTACATGTCCATAAATTATTATTATCTCACAATGTAAAAGAAAGTTAGGAATGTGCAGAGTCTGTGCCAAAATTGATTTGGTTATTCTTTGGTCTGTGTCCATCCTTCCACCTTACTTGATGGAAATCCATTTTGTAGTTTTTTCACAGTTTTCCCACAGAGCAGAGGTAACAAGTTAATAATCTTTGAACGACTCATTGAAATGAGTCAGAAGAACATCCGTTTGTTTCTGTGGAAACCCCCTCGCTGACCACATTATGTTTCCTGTCCCTCTCTCCTGCAGAGTAGTGGTGCAGCGTTTTGTTCAACAGAAACTCTACCTGTTTCTTCAGCACTGCTTCGGTCACTGGCCTCTGGACGCCTCTTTCAGAGCGGTATGTTTCTGGTGTTTTTATATCGTAATACTTTTGAATTCTGATATTTTCATTTAGAGTCCAGACCTCCACCCTCTCCTCCGCCTTGTTTTACACATGTAGAATTCAGAGTTTAAATTTCGAACTGATCATCCCTGTGTTCAGGTGCTGGAGACGTGGTTGAGCTACATTCAGCCGTGGAGATACACCGGGGAGAAGATCAACCCTCAGCCAGACCAAAACAGAACAGTCCCTGACAAATGGTGACTCTGATGGTTTTTGATTTTTTTCGTTCTTACGTGAGCGATGACGTTGTTCTGACTGTTCAGCTCTGCTGTGTTTCAGGGAGTCGTTTGCTCAGGAGAACCTGCTCATGTACACAAAGCTCTTCCAGGTTTTTTTGAACAGAACCGTGAGGACGGATCTGGTCAACGCCAAAAACGCGCTGATGGTTTTCAGGGTCGCCAAAGTCTTCGCTCAGCCAAACCTTGCAGAGATGATCCAGAAAGGTCAGGACGTTTCTACAACACGTCGGTTTTTCAGCTTCTCTGCATCTCTTTCTGCTTTAAATGGAAAAACTTGAAATTAAAACATCTGGTTCAGAGTCAGAACACGTTGATGAGCTCTGACGGTTAAACCATAAACTTCTTCTCTTCTTGTTTATTTTGTAAATTATAATGTTAAATGTTCATCCCAGAAAATACTGATATGTTTGTGAAAGACTCGTCTGCTGAGCTTTTTTCAGCCAAATGATAAATCGTCCAAATATATTTTATAACCGAAAATACATATTTACATGGAATTTCAGGAAACTGGTAAAACACCCCCCAAAAAAAGTTCAAGTGAAAATGATCAACTGGGGAAGTTTCATGATGAAAAGATTTAGATTAGTTTAAATCTTTAACCTCTCGTCTTCAGTGATTGTCGGTGTAAACAATTCTCCAGTTGCAGACCCACTCAACTCCACTGATTTAGCATTAATACAAGTTCAAACTGATATCTGGGATATAAAATGAGATCTTTTTAAAACTAACCCAGGCGTCTGTCTCCAGGTGAGCAGCTGTTTCTGGAGCCCGAGCATGTCCTCCATCACCGTCAGCCCCGCGGCTACCTGACGCCGAGCCAGGGCGGCAGCTACCTGTCGTCACGGCAAAAGGTGGTGACGGACATGGTGTTCAGGGTGAAGAGCCACGTCTATTCCTTGGAAGGTCAGGACTGTCAGTACAAGCAGATGTTCGGCACCGAGCTCAGAGGAGCGGTAAGTTGTCCTTGTTTCACCTGCGTGTCGGGGGTTTTATTTTAGATTTAAACTACATGTTACAACCCAGAGAGTTCAAGTAGTTTGACTCAGTGTGAGGTCAACACTCGACATCTCAATTCAGTGTCCATTACACAGGTCATGAAGTTGATCCAGATGATTGCACAAGCCAGACAGACGGCCAAGAGGATATCAGACCACTCCAACGAGGCGGCGGCCAGTTCCTCCTTCCTGTCCTGGTTTGGTTTGAGCTCCTCCGATCACAACAACACGTTCTCTGGAGCCGAGTCAGAGGAGAGCGGCGAGTGTCTGAAAAAGACCCACGAGTTCCTGGACAGAGCTCTGGAGAACCTGTGTCTGATCTTCAAGGTCAGATTTTCCTCTTTTCTTCACGCACGATGAACATTTTGTTTCCGATTACTCACTGATAAATAAACTGTCTTTGTTTTGTAGCTGAACCAGGGGCAGCTGACTCAGCTCATTTCAAACCTTAGTTCTTCTCAGGATGACGGCAACTGCAAGCAGCTGCCAGACTGCATCCAGGGAGAGAACGGACTCATCCTCACTGACCTGGGTCGGAGGCAGGTCAGTGCTTCAAACTACCGTCCCTGAGGAGAGTGGATGAGATCTGTCTGAAACCCTGACTCTGTGTGCATGTGCGTGGGTTGTTTTTGCAGATCATAAATGGACTGCGCAGGTTCGACCTTCAGTACCAAGGCGACCCGGAGCTGCAGCCCATCAGGAGCTATGAGAGCGCCCTGCTGGTCAGGCTGTTCTACAGGATCTCCTCTCTGCTCAATGAGAGGGTCAGTACTTCCAGCAACTTCTGTCACCACAGCTGCTTCTGTCTGAAAACAGTTTGTTTGAAGGTGTTCTCCTCTCCCGCTGTCTTCCCGCAGTTCGGAGGACACATGAGTGCGCTCTGCTCACGGCCGGACTTCCTGGGTCGCCTTGGTTGTCACTACCTGACGGATCCTGATTCTGCCAGGAAGCCAAACCAGAGCCCGGTGTCTGTGCGGACGCTGGAGAGGAACCGGCCGCCGAGGCTGAGCCTGCGCCCCCTGGCCAGCTACAGGACGATTCTGCTGCTGTTGCTCCTCTACGTGTTTGGAGCGCTCCTGTCATTCGGCCCCGTGTCCAGCACGCTCATCATCCTTGCGGGGGGCTTCCTGTACGGACTGTTCATGACGTTGTTTGGAGACAAACTGAAAACGCACTAACTGAGACCAGGAGTTTCTGCACATCTGAAGAAAAAACACACTTGACAATTTTCGATCAACGCCACCTTGTAATGGTGAGAGCAAAAAAATGTGTGAGAGCTAATGAACGAAGTGTTGACCGGTCCTGTTTGTGCATCATCGATTAATCAGCCTGTTGATTCAGAAAACCTTTTACACTTTCCTAAAGTCTTCAAAGTATTTTCTTCTGTCCCAACATCAGTTTTCAAACGTAGACTGTAATTAAAGATGGACGACACATCTCCACTTCCTCCCACTCTCCACAAATGAAGCCAAATATTTCTGATACGAGCGCAGACATCTTGTTTTGAAGACCCCCCCCCCCCTCCAATAAACACACTCGGTAAATCACCAGTCGGTAAATCACCAGTCTCAGCTGTCAATCGTGACGTCTCTGCCCGGTTTTACATCATCAAAGTCATGTCGTCCATCTTGATTCACTGTCTGCGGTTGAAACCCAAAATATTCACTTTGCTTACGTTCTTAAGCCGAACCCTTTAAAGTAAAAAAGAAATGAAGCAAGGTTTTACTTTTGAGAATTTTGAACAAAAGAAGTATTTTTCTATTAATAGAAAATAAATGGTCAGTTTTCAGTTCAGATGATAATAAAGGTTGTTTTTGTCACAGATGTCGATGTTAGTGAGGAATTAGTCTGTTAAATAACAGTCGATCATTTCACATGTGTTCATTTTCAAAACATCTTTAGGATGTGTAGGAATTCCTGTTGCAACGAATGGTAACCTTTTTATTTGAGCTTTTCCCCATTTTTAAAAAGTGCTTCATGTATAAAGAGAAAACTTTGTACATGAACACAGTGTCACCTCCCTGGTTTATGTTTTATTTACAGATTGACTTGACGTACTTTTACACTAGACAGTTTTTCTCGGTGAAAGCAAAAATACTTTCTGTCCAAAAGGCTGAATAAACTTTTTGCACTAGTTTCCAGTTTTGTTGTGTCACTCATTTCATAACAGGATGTTCCCAACTTTTAATCTCAACTAGTGAAGAGAAACATTTAAAGATCTGTAATTATTGCAGAAGCTTTGTGCCTCATGTCCAGTTTGAAATGTAAAACACGTGCATCATCACTTTCATTATGTGCTATAGGTCCAATATTTCTTCCTTTATTATTATGTACAGTATTAAACTAGCATGTGCACTATAACATTAATGATCTTGTGCAATATAGTTCTCAGTCAAGCTGTTAATTTATTTCTTTATATTTTTGTAACTTATTTCACCATATATATTATTTTCAGGCACGGGTCCTCTCTTAGCCCTCGTTATACTTGACATTTCTTTACTTGTTTACTTCTGAAAGTTTACGGATACAAATGAAACAGTCAAATCAATTCAGATCCAGAGAGCTCCTGATCCCGAGGAGGACGATTCATTTGCAGCTTCCGATCACACAAACATCCGATATGATACGTGTCAACAAACAGGTCGGTGTCGGACATGAAGACAAAGAATAAGGAGGTAAAGTATAAAGCGATAAAAATGAGATGGTGAATAGACGTTTGTTACATGCGTCATCGTGTAAAAAGGAATGAAAGATTGAAATAATCGCTGATAATATTCTTTTTCTTACTTTTCACCTGATTCTCTCAGAGGGACCATGAGTCTCTTTGCTTGACTCCAATGATCTCGAAGTCAAAAGAAGACGACCTTCGATAAACGAACGATAAAAGTTAATTCTCTTCGAGTCGTTACGAAACTCCTGACGTCTACGTGACATCATCTGGCCTCTGGGAATCTTTCGTAAAGAGCTTCGTTATCGCAACCTCCTCCGCCATCAACGTGACCCTGTGCTGCCCTCTAGTGGATATTTTCCAGATGTACATGAAAGTACAGTACGTGTCAGTGACGGAAAAAGTCTCAATTATATTGTGCGTAAAGTTAGTCAGCACATGTGGCTGCAGGGGGCGCTGTTGCTCGGTAAAGGTTACGTAATGTCCTGACCCTCTATGTAAAGTGCCTTGAGATAATGATTTGGCGCTACACAAATAAAGTTGAATTGAATTAATGCCGCTTTAAGTATTTTTAACTTTTATTGTCGTACAATGAAAGTGTTTGTTTGCCTTCCACCATGAATAATGTGTTTATTTAAGAGTTCAAACAGTAGAAGAGTAAAACTATAAAAATCAATATGTACAATAGAACTTCAGCAAACATTAAAATATGAGTTTGAAACTGATTCACTCTCAAACTTCAACTTGTTCATGAAAACACTGAACTTCCTTAACTTAACTCAACCCACACTACAAGTCCCACGATGCACCTCGCCGCCTGTCGTCATCCAACGTCGACGGACTCGGTGACGCAACGTGCTGTCGCCGGGAGAAGTTTGAAAACAGACGCAAAAACTTTTCTTTTCCGTTAACGGTCAGTGTCGTTCCGGTTGTTTCCGGAGGAACCGAGCCGAGTGTGTCCGGAGGCCGAGCAGGGTCGAGGGGAGTCCGGTCAGAGGACGTCACGGTTCAGGTGAGGGAGACGAGCCGTTAGCTGGACCCGTCTCGCGGTGACATGAGGCGGGCTGTCAACACGCTGCTGTCCCCTTCCTCCGGTTCTCTGTCCCCCGGGGACTCCAGCGGCTCTCAGCCGGGACACCGAGCCGAGGCAGCGGCCACAGAGGCGGCGGGAGTCCGAGGAGAAAAAACACGAGGAGTTAGCTAATGTTTGCTAAGTGTTAGCTTCAACACACACACACACAGGAACACACAGGAACACACACACACA